GTAGAGCCCCACCCTAACCCTAACCCTTTGTTTTCTGAAGCCCACTGCCTCACTCTCTGCACTCAGCGGTTGAAGGCGTCAGCATGTTACCAACTCCTGCTGCTGCAATCAGCTAGAGTTTACCCACAATATTGACCAGTCAACTGTTGACCCCCCCCCAGGGCCGCTCCCAGCTGATTCAGCTCATTACCTGTGGATGTAGTTTTCTCTGTTGGTTGGCAGGTCATAATTGATGACAAGGGACACCTGCTGGACATCAATGCCTCTGGCCTATGGGAGAAAAACACAGATTAAGATATAGCACGGGTCAGTCTCATTCCTGAGCAATTCTACGCCTCACCTCATATCCACAAACAGGTGAATGGAGCCACAATGTATTTAATATTTAACTATCACATGCTGCTTTGTAACCTGCCATTTAGTTGCGGGCCCTGGACTAAACCCAGGCCACAGTGGAGGGCAGGTAGGTTTCTCTACCAAGGCACTTTCAATCCATCCCCCTACGCAGCAGAGGGACGGAGAGGGAGCCGTGGGCTGCTCACAGCAGCAGCATGTCTGTCTCTCTACCGGGCAGACAGAGGCAGGGCCAGCAGTGAGGGCTCCCTGAGTGGACATACCAACAAGTCAGTGGTGATGAGGACCCGACTGGACCCAGAGCGGAACTCCCTCATGATCAAGTCTCTCTCTTTCTGGTCCATGTCACCATGCTGAAAGATAAAAATAGCTAGAGTCAAACCAGAGGCAGCCCACAGTGACAAGCTAGTACAACTTCAGCCAGAAGTAATTCCAGCAAATAGACTTGGACTAGTGGCACAAGCCTTTACATTGGTAGTTTACAAGCAATGCCTGCAGATTCATCATGACCTGTTGATAGGCCAGTGCAGACCTGCCCATACCCGTCTAAGAACATGGAATCAGTCATCGGCAGATCCATGTTGTAGTGGGGGGGGGGGGGGGGGAATTAAGTGAGATGCTGGCCCACTGACATAAGTCCAGTAAACATTTTAGGCGGTCCTGGCTTTTGAAATGACCTTAATCCTATTCCGATAGCATCACACTGCATCTATGAAAGGTTGGAGCTGGAAAACTACAACTGTTCAGTTACAGGACTGAATGGCTCCACACAGACACGGGGGGCCCTTACCAGAGCAGACACAGTGAAGTCTCTAGCATGCATCTTCTCTGTGAGCCAGTCCACTTTCCTCCTCGTGTTGATGAAGATTACCGCCTGGGTGATAGTCAGGGTTTCATACAAATCACAGAGCGTGTCCAACTTCCACTCCTGTGAAAGAGTCAGACCTTTGGGTTAGTTTCTGCAGACATTTCCAAACTCCTCAGGCATGTAGAAATGTCCCATGTAGAAACAGCCCATCAACTAGGGCTTGTCTTGCTAATGTAAGTCAGGGACCCCCAGCTTTAAGTGCAGCGAGGGGTCTTCACCGCCTCTACTCGCCAAAATGCATCCAGCTGCAGCCATGAGATTAGTTGAGTGGGCAAAGGCCATTCATTTTGTTTATCCTTATGGGCCCTGGTTATGAGTTACTGTAATCCAATATGAAGCAGCTTGAGCATTCTCATTTCTGACCCTTCCACAAATAGTAGCATCAACCCTTCCATACCTCTTTTTCCACATTGATGTAGAACTGGCGAATGCCCTCAAGGGTCAGCTCCTCCTTTTTCACAAGGATTCGGATGGGCTCTCGCATAAACTTCTTTGTAACTTCCAAAACATCAGCTGGCATGGTGGCTGACAGGAGGACAACCTTAAAAAAACAAAAAAACATGCTCACTTTTCCTGAACAGTGAGTTAAACCAACATCTCCCAGGATGTGTTGCCCTCACCTGTGTGTTGCTTGACAGCTTTTGGAAGATCTCATAGATTTGATCTTTGAAGCCTCGACTCAGCATCTCATCAGCCTCATCAAGCACAAACATTTTGATGTTCTTGGATGCTAAAAAAACAAGCATGCATATTAGTCATAAAAGGTTCATAGCTTCATGTTTTCATCAGTTATCAGAATGATGCCCAACTTAAGAGCAGAAAGTAATTCTCTAAATGACAGATCTCACCTGAGACCACTATGGACAGAGAGGACACTCACAGGAAATGTATACAGTGCATACAGACTGGGCAGTTTTACACAAGTTAGTCTCAGTCCAGCAGTAGTGCTGTAATCAGAACCATGAACGTATGATCATGCGTCTGCGTCCCTGATGTAGGGCAACCTCCGGTCAGCAGAACACTGAGCAGAGTGACCCACAGCAGGGCTGCGCAGAGTCAGCTGACACGCATGGGTTTCATCATTCTACAGCCTCACAGGTCAGCAGCAACTCGCACAGCTGAGGACTTTTAGAGGGGACCTGCACCCCATCAATGAATATCCCAGATCAGATTAGCGGGACACTGGCAGGTCAGTCACTTACCCAGGTTTTTACGAGTCAACATGTCAAAGACTCGACCGGGGGTCCCGACCACTATGTGAGGCGCTTCAGCCTGCAGCTTCTGGACCTCACTGCGGATGTTGGTTCCTCCAATGCAAGCATAGCAACTGGCTCCCATGTAGTCGCCCAGGGCCAGCACCACTTTCTGGATCTGAGGCAGACAGAACGCCTGCGTTATTTACAAGTTCAACAATTCTAAGAATTTCTAACTAAAATACATTTGGCGCCTGATGCACCCACACAGAGGCGTAGTCCTAAGGTTCACCAAGGTGTGCTTCACACCTGGCTAAAATTCTGAGTTGGGGGGTTTTCCATTGGTCGCCCAGACTAATTCTAGTTTTTAAATGTTATGTTCACCTTCCAGTTCAGTCAGAATGACAAAGGTTGAAACTGTCACATCAGTAAAAAGTAGCCCCGTCAACCATTTCAATATCCCGAGACCTAGCCACATTGGATTAGAGAATGTTTTTCCCTCGATAAAAAAAATAAAAATAGTTTGGGTTTTTGCATCTTTCTTTGCAGGGAGACAGAAGTTGGAGGCTGTGTTTCACTGGATTTTTGTGCAGATGTCATGGTTACAGTGAGGGAAAAGGCAGCCGCAGGGCTTACGGAAAAATGTGTTTATAGATGAAAACAAAACAGATCCTTAACAAAAAAAATTTAAACAAAAACCTTTCACAGCCACTGACAAAACGGTGCAGTTGGTACCTTTGTAATACGGCTCACTTTAAAGTTCCAGGTCAGTGTGAAACAGTATTTTAAACCACGTGTCAGCTGAAATTGTTCAAACATCACACTGGGTTGTCCTGGGGATCATACCTGCTGAGCCAACTCCCTGGTGGGAGCCAGGACCAGCGCCTGAGTGCCTTTCAGCTCCACATCAATCTGCTGAAGAATGGAAATGGCAAAGGTGGCCGTCTTCCCAGTGCCAGACTGGGCCTGAGCAATCACATCGTAACCTAAAAGACAGGTACCAGGAGGAGACCATTAAAGGAGCATCACAAATCTGCTCACACTGAGGCGACCAACTTGATTCAATTCTGTTACGGTTAGGGTGTATTTGAAGGCAGCGCAAGATTCATCTTAACACTGCTGTACAGATACCAACTATTCACCGTATGGCTCTTGAAGAACATCCATTTAATAGCATGATCACTATAAAACACATGAGCACACTGACTCATATGGAAGTAGCCTGCAGATGCAATGCAGAGCTTAGCTGGGGTGCCCCCTGGTGGAGTCCCCCAGTCACAGGGTTAGTGTAATGCAGGATTGCAGATTTTGAATGGACTTAAAGGGTGTGTGGTACAGACTTTGTCAGCTTTATTTGACATGTTGTGCAGAAATATGTGTTTTGTTTGCAGGTAAAGTCAACAGATGTCTGCCTTTACCAGCAGTGACAGTCTATTCATGCACCCCACCGCCACTATCCGCCTCTTTCTGTGGAAGCAGTTCGCAGCAGGCTTTTGGCTGAGAGCTGTGCTTTCACAGCAGCGTAGACTGCTCAGCTAAAGGCATCTACTGTGTTTAGTTATAAAAGGAGGAATTCTGGCTTCTCAAAATTAAGAGGGGATTCCCTGCTCTGGCAGCACTTGATGGTCAAACTTACCCTTGATACAAGGCATAATGGCCCTTTGCTGGATAGCTGATGGCTTCTCAAATCCATAGGCATAGATTCCCCTGAGGAGGGTCTCACGCAAGTTCATCTCATCAAAGCTGTCCACGATCTCCTCCCAGTTGCTCTACACAGGCAAGAGACATTACAACTCAATAAATCTAACAGTCATCATTTTCAAACCACAAATTGAAAGGGGGTTAATACAAATTTAAGTTCAGCCGACCTGAAATTAAAACACCAAACAAAGACCCATCCACACACAGCCAAGAGGTAATCTCTACCCTTTGTGATAGATTAATGCCTCCACTAGATGGCAGGAATGTCCTAGCCTTTAAATTATTTCCAAACCTTCCCATGTTTCTGTTTTGACCAACAACAAAAAACACACACACAAAAAAGGTGTACTCACCTCGATGATGCCATCTGGCTCCATGCCCTCAGGGCCATTGTCTCTGTAAAGACAATGTAGTGATTATTCCTCTGTGCTGCGTGCCACATCAGCAAACATGCAGGCACTCAGGGAAAAGTCAGGTTTTAGGGCAATGCAGTATTCTGCCTACAGCGAACCATCATAGCTAAGCTTTAAATGCGACCGATGCCCTTCCATTCATCATCATCATCATCATCATCTACCACCCCCACCCCCCACCCCACCCCGACATCCATCGAGTGTTTCCGCTCAGAAAGGCCTTTTCCCCGGGCAGGGCTGGGGAAACAATGGCGGCTAAACATGATAAACCTGAAAATTCTGACTTTTCTCGGCATCGTGTACTAGCCTGAGGTAGATTCTGACGTGGGTGTGATGCAACAGAGAAGTGGCCAGAAAAAGGGGAAACCTCGCCGAGCTAGCTGCGGCCTGCTCCGCCTGAGCTAGCCGGGCCTAACCGGCCTTTATGGGGCCTTTCGGAAGACACGGTCAAACCCTCGTAATACAGCCCAAACGCAAAAACCGAACACGATAAGAGCTAATCCAGACACAGGCAGCCAGTCAGATAATGGATTGGGGGGGGGGGCTAAACACCAAATGGCGTTTTAAGGCTGATTTTACCAGCGGCTTCAACTACGTCGGAGACTACGACCATGTGTCCTAATGAACCGGAGGAACGCAATGCCTCCAGGTTTCGGAACCGATTACGATGTGCCGAAGAGTGCAAGACAAAAAAAAAATCAAATGTCATACCTAGATTAAAGAAAAACGTATTTTTCCTTCGAGTGGGGTATTATTTCCAATGAGACAGGTATTAACGGATAGCTGAACGCAGCCCCGGGAAGGCCCGAGGCTTTCACGTGCCTTTCCGCGAGCCGGCTGCTAGCGTTTCATTCACCGGAGCCCTGGACGCTGCCAGCGGCCTCCACCCTCCACGCCACCCGGGATAAACCCACAGAGCCGTTCGAAGGCACACATGACGTTTTAACCGGGCCAATTCGATCGGAAATCAAGTTAAAACGGTTAAGCAATGAACGGTAAAATAAGAGCAGGCCGCGGCGCTAAGTGGGGACACCACCAGCAATGTGACCTGCTTAATGTTCACATTCTGACATTATGTTCACTTCAACACTAACATTCTAGTTTAAACCACTAAGGAACTAAGTAATAACCAACAATACATCATGTAGGAAAGCCTTCACCTACCTGTTAACATATTCTGCCGACATTATTCCAAAGAAAGAAACTGCGGTAGAAATGTGTTATATATATGTTGAGAGAGCAAAGGCGCATTCTCATTGCATCAGGTTGCCGTCATTCAGCTATAGTCCCGCCTTCTGATGCCTGTAACTGGTCCATTTAACGTTTTTCTTTTTTTTCGATGGGCGGGCTTAACTTTTTTTCAAATGATTTGAAAGGCAGAAGGGCGGAGTTTAGTGTGCTTGAAAAAAACAGAGGCCATGACAGTCATTTTAGGTTCCAATTAAAGCCACGGGAGCAAATAAAGTGAGAGCGAAATATGAAGTTCATTTTTTAATTACTATTCCAAATGTTTACTTAATTATCCTAAAATCAGAAACAGATGGGTTAAATCCGCAGAAAGCCAGCTTCACTTTACTAGCATCTGAAGTTTCTGTAAGCAAGTTATTGGTGGCAACCATTGACCGAAGTAATTTTTCAAATAAAAACAAGAGTTGTTAGAGTACTTTTCATCCAAACTGTGGCAGAAGTCATGTCTATGGATTCTGAATACAAACAGGGAGTTTTTTTTCCTTCCCACTCTCTTCTGTGCATGCTCAGGATGGGGAATTAGAACAAAGAGTTCAGTTTCAGTGGCATCTGCAGGTTTCTTAACCTAGAAAACCTTTTAAAATTGTTATTGTATGAATAGGTCTATTTTTGGATTTAACATACTTGAGTGGATTGGATCACCTATATTCCAATTAATTAGATGCTGTCTGAAGATCGATTATATTTTTCAAGTACTTAGAGAATACATGTTTGAATTTAGCATTGAACCACAAGTTTTATGACATGTACAAAAAAAAATTGTTGGGGAAAGGAAAATATTCTTTATAAAGGTTGCAGTGAATTCAAAATCTAGAGCTACATAGTCAAATTTGAGTGGTCAGAAGCTGATATTGGAATATTTGGGGAAAAGATATGTATGCCACATCAAATATATGTATACCTTTAAAGTACTTTTCCTGCAGCACAGCCACATACAACACCATTAGTTTTTAATTCCTTCAAACCTTTACAGCTATTTGTATTGGGATGTAGCATTATTAGGGGAAACAAAACAGACCTTACAGTTCATCCGGTCACCCAAAAACAGACTGGCAAGTGATCCATGCAAATAGGGCAGCAGCACAGAGCTGGGTAAAAGGTCAACGTTTTACTCCATCCGTCTACTCATGTTTTAACACAAAGACACAGTCATTTGTTTGCTATATTTTTATTTTCAGCAACCATAATGCATTGAAGATATAGAAAACAACTCTGTTGTATCCACTCAAAAATGCAAAAACCAAAACATATCCAGACTTTTATTATAAAAAAAAAATAAAGACAGCACTGTAAGTCTATTGTGGACGTACTGTGCCTGTGGGGTAGCTGTTGTGGTCCTTACCAAAATGGCTTTTTTTTCTTTTTAAAAAAGAAATGCTCAACAAAACATCTTCTGCACTTATTCCAAAAATAACACAAATCATTGTCCTTTTAACACCATTAGTTTAAAGCAATAAGCATATCATCACATATACTGACAGCAATAAAACACATTAAAAGATAAATGCAATGTAAATATAACCTTTTGGGAGCCATTATGTCAATGTTCTTTGCCTGGGCTTCCATCAACAGACAGATCCAAATTTCAAAGTTAGCCACTGCTTTCCTCCAGTAGAAAAGGTAGAGTGTTCCTGGTACTGGGGTTAAATTGTGTTGCACTACATGGACCTAAACATTCTAATGGACATCTGGCAATCCATTAGCAAACTGTTTATTCCCAAGTTCAACGTCCCACACAAGAGTTCAAATCCAGTTTGACTAACTTAAAGAAAGGTCTTGAGATAGACTTTAGAAGTGTCGCATTGTACTACATTGAAACCTAACTATAGCCTTTCAGTGTTGGTTTAGTTAAACTGCCGGGTGGACAGGATGTAAAACTCACAGGGACTGTTCATCTGCAAGCTTAAAAAATCAACTCATCACCTACCTGTACTGTTACATGGAAGTAAAAACTTTACGGTGGTACAAGCATTCATTTCACAGAGGTTCTTTCCACATCCCCACATTTGTCCGATACCCATTCAGATTGAAAGGTCAGTGGACTAACAACTCTCAAAATGGAAGCTAGTCTTGACCTCTGAACCACAGTCAATAACTGGGAACAAACTGATGGAGAAAACAAAGGCTGACAACCCAAAAGGGAAACAATGACATCAAATATGGTAGTAGTAGTTTCTCTGGGTGTTTGCAGAAAAGATTTTATTTTTTATCTTCTTTTTCCGTCCAATCGTTTGTTCCCCTTGTCCTTCCTTAATCATTGTCCCACTGTATGGTTGGAGTCGGGGGGGGGTATGGATACATGGTCACAGGACCAGCTTACAGTGACACAGTTCTTTGTACATTTGCCTCCTGAGCCGGGGCATATCCTGCTGCCCAAAACTGAATGGCTGCCCAAGGGCCAGACACTTGCAGTACTGCAGGATAACAGAAGCAAAAAGGAGAGAGGAAGAGCGTTTAGCTGCAGGAATAACAGGCACAGTAACAGATGTGACCGGCCCCTGACTGACTGCCTGATGTTAAAGTATTTCTGTTTGATGAGCCTGTGGTTTCTGGGGAGCTACAGGAGCAGCAACAACAGGTGACTGGCAGCAGTTTGGACCAGAGTCATCTACTCAATCATAAAAACATAGTTGGCTTGTTTGTTTTTTTAACTAAATCTTTTTTGTAAAGACTATGGGGTGCTGTGCCAGCTGCTTGGTAGTTTCACTAAAACTACCATAACTACCTCTCATTTCTTCAATAACAAATAGGTAGATTACTAAGGCCCGGTTTGGGATTCAAGTGGATTACCTCAGACAGGAAGTGCTACAGCCACAAATAGTGGTAGAAATCAAGTATTATTCCTGAATGTGAAAAGAACCTGCTGCATTTTGACATGATTGTGCAGTTGCTCACTGATGAAAGGGATTTGGATAAGATCAGTGCATAACTAACATAATAAAGTTTCATATATTCTGACACAAGGTCATGGTTGACATGAAAAACTTACCTGGAGAACAAAAGCCCCACAATCACTGTCATTGTTCTGGCGACCCACATTCTGAAACGATAAGATAAACCAATTCTAATTATGGTATTTATATTGACAATGCCTGACTTTACAAAGAGAATTTTTCAATTGTATATTTAATTTTTTTTAATGAAGCTTATAGTATATGCACATAGTAAGTAGAGACATCGAAAAACATCATGCATTTACCATTTTAAAAAAGCCTTTCCACCCCATCAAGAACTCCTGCTGGTCTTTTTTGATGGCTTCTGCTTGCAGATACTTGAAAATATGCTAAAGCAAAACAAAAAAAAAAAAACATGATACAACATGTGTAGGTAATAAGAAACACTTTCAATGGAGCTCCTGTAGAGGATGGTGAGACTCTAGGACCTTTAGTTTTTTTAGCTGTGGCTTAGGAGTTAACAGTGGACGTCAGGTCACTGATAAGGTAAGCAACCAGGAATCTGACATCACCAACCCTAACGACAGCACCAGAAGCCTGCAGCTTTGTCATCAACAGGACTGAAGGGCAGAGAAACAACCCTGTGCACAAATTTCAGAAATTCAGAAAACTACAACAGATGGAATTACTTCAATCAAAGAAGCTTCAGCAAAAAGTAGAAGCCAAACTAATATGAAAAGAAGTGGAAGTTAGGGGCTGCACTGTGATCTCATGCAGCACCTGCCTACAAGCTTGAGCATTACATAGAAAAAGCAGAAACAAATAAAGACAGCTTTCTATTCAACTTAGTGAGGAAAACTCTAGGACCTGAACAGTGCCCACAAAGGAAATGGAGCAGGAGCTGTGGAAGACTTTCTCTGCCTGACAGACGTGTACACAAATGACTGTTCCAGATGACAAGCCACACATTTAATCAACAAAGCTTTAACTAAACACAATCCTGGAAACGTAGAATAGAGCTGGAGACAAGACCAGAATCTTCCCCAGGGCCATCATTTTTAAGAACAACTTGGGTATGTTCTGGTACCCAACTTAAGTGACAAATGGATGAAACACCCAATGAGAATAGGTCATACAACCAGTCACGCGTTGTGGGGGAACTAATACGGATCACTCAAAAATACTCCAACAACAACAAAGGCATTTGTCAAATGAAAAAAAGACCCCTTTTTCTTGCATTCTTTACTGTCCTTCTCCTCTCCGCGTTCCCTTAAGTGTAGAAGAGGGGGGATCTAGAGTGTCCTCTTCACAACCATTATTCTCCCCCTCACTTTCCCTCAAAAATAACCTCTACCCATAAACTCCTTGGAGCAACAGAAACAATCGGCTCCCACTATGAAAACAACTCCTGGTAAAGGACAGAATGCCTTAAAATGGTATGGCAGCATCTCACCTTCGGACACCGCCTGTTCAGAGTCCTCTGCGAGTCAAAATAAGTGATGGCCCGGCGTGGAATATCAACACTGACCAGTGACCAATGAACCTCAAGGTGGATGGGAATCAACAGCAGATCCTTCTGAAAGATGTCAACCTGCCGGGAGAAAAAATATGTGTGTGTGTGTGTGTGTGTGTATAATATATATATATATATATATATATATATATTTTTTTTAATTATACACACACACATATACAGATGCAAACACACAAATAACCCCCCCAAAAAACGTACATTTTTCGTCCACCGCTTCACTCCTTCATATCCTTTTGTCCTTAGCTTGTCATAGAAGAAGCTGTTGAAAAAGTGGACCTGTGGAGGGACCAGGGGATAAACAGAGGATTAGTTGACCACAGTGGCTCCCGGACTGTTCTTCCCTTTGTGTCACATGTGTTCAGCTTCTTTTGGAACAGATGTTGAACCTTCCTTGACTCAAGATAAACAGTGGCCATGGTTGCAACAGGATTGTTTAAAAAAACAACAGCTTTCACATGGAATTCCAGACATTTCTGTACTGGATGTTACACCACCTGCTCACTGCAGCAAACCGGATTCTACAACCTACGGTCCACTACAGCAGACGCATGTGCAGAGAGCCCCGTGGATAAAGGACGTAGAGGAGAAAGTTGAAATCATTTCCCATGCTCATGTCATGGGATATGTCTTGAATAGTGGCTATAATGAAAGGCATCAGGACTCTGACAAAGTTGAGTAACAATAATACCAACTTTGCCGTTCATGTCGTTACAGACAAGAAATCAGCTCTTACCTGTGAGGGACAATTCCAGCCAAAAGCTACAGCCATTACTGCAGCGCTACGAAGGTTTGTGCCACAACTGTCTCTGCCTCATCTCTTCTCACGTGTACATGTACATCGCTTCTTACATGTTAAGTCTCCTGGTTTGTGTTTTGTCATTTCTAAAAACACTTTATAGGGATTTTTTTTTGGAATTGACTAACTGGGTTCAAATGATGGATATGAGTTTTAGTGGACATCAATATGTCAATTATTTAAGTCTACATATATTATAGTGAATTACAATGTCATCTCAAGGCACTTGCAGAGATACAGTCCAATTCAGGCTAAAGGGATTCCAGTTCTATATATTCAAATCCTAATCCAAAGAAGAGCAAGGAAATAAATACCAAATTGGTACAGTTTATACACACTGAACTGAAAAGAAAGTTGCCACGTTTAGGAAACCAACAGCTTGCATTCAAACTTCCCTTTGATCTAAATCCCATCTTTAGTATGTGTGAGGAAACAAGAGATAGTAAAACTCCTGTATAACAGGAACAACCACCTTAAGACCTTAAAAACCAGGACAAAACCTCCATCCAAACCAGAACCAGGATGAAGGCACAACAGCTTAGTAAGTCACTTGTTAGCTACACATGTAGAAGATGATTTTGTGCTTGTATTGTGGTGGACCCATCTCTCAAATCTAAGCGTCTGGAGTGAGCTTCTGGTGGTCTTACATCAGAAGTTAAATATGTCATGGAATGAGCTGAAACCTGTAGAATGACTGTGCAGATCTCAATATGTTAAAGACTATCTTACCCTTTCTGGAACAGAGTCCATGACAAGGTCACCATACATGTTCATTACCTGTGGAAAGCAAACAGCAAACACAACTTTGACTTAGCAGTGATAGTGAAGGAGAGCATCCTCTTTCTCCAAGTAAGATTACAACTCTCCTCCATGTTGGGTAGTGGAACTTGGAGAATTTCCAAACAATGTGCAAAGCATTTATTTTGATCAGTATGCTGGACACAGAAGACTGGACCTTATGTTATGTGGTCCACCTTTATACTGAGGAAGCAGATTTTTCCTCATGAAAGAAAGCAAATGGAGACAAAGACTCAGAATTCTTTGGCATTTCAACTTGTCTTTGGGACATCTTGTTTTTCTTTTCTTTACCCATCTCTTTGTTTATGGGATACTTGTTAACTGCTACACTGCAAAGTAACCAATAATCCAAGCTGTGAAACACTGATCATTTTAATCATGTCAACCTTTTCTTAGTTTGTTTTTTAGGTGTCACGAAACTAGGATGAACTCACTGGAGTGTTGTTGCCAAAGAACTAACTCAATCAAACCCAAGAAAAGCGTCTTTTGTTTGCCTTTATTCATTTTAGCCCAACATTTTGGACATAACCCGATTGTTGTCCGCTCCACTCAGTGAGTAAGCCCAATTTGAAAGGCAGGTGGAAGCGTGGCCCATGTCTGAGACTTACAGCCCACGGCGTGCTGCGGTGGTTACACAGACCCCCCCCTTAGGTCGACAGTCTCTTTGGATTGCCACTCTAAGCAAACTGCCACCCTGTAACTCTGCACACTTGTTTGATGAGTTTGCAGATTATTAGAATGGAAATTCTGTTGTGTTCTGACAGGCGCGTGTGTCACAAGATACTTTTAAAAACACTAGAAATGAACTGTGAACAATGTGAACAACAACCAATGAACAAAGAACAAAAAGTGTGTCTTATATCATAGAGTGTGCAGCCTTGTACCTGGTCATTCAGCCAGTTCTGTCCATACAGAGTACCCAGGTCATCCATGGTCAGAACGTGTCTCTTGTAGTTGACCCTGAAAGTCTTAGCCACGGCCGATCCTGATGACCGTTGGAAGGATTGAATGAGATGTTGGACCATTGCCTTCCTAACAGGAAAAAAAACAGAAATATGAGGAAATCTTTCAATCAGTGAGACTTGTTTTTCTTTCCGATTCCATTTCATTGAACCTTTAACATACTGAGGGCAAAAATGGCGATTTGGCGTACAGTGCGTGTTAAAAACCAGACATGCTATCCGCATGCCTCTGTTCAGAAGAAGCATCTTCCAAATGGCTCTCCTGCTCCATCACCGTAGAAACCATTTTACAGTTCATCATCCAGACTTAACAAATGGGAGGAAACGCACATTTGACAGCTGTCAGGCCTTTTGCTCTTTTGTCACGGGTCTGCAGAGTGCTGCTCTGCATCATCATAACCCACACAAACAGCTCAGAGACGGGAGCCAGCGTGAGCCACTACACATCACTCCCTGTGCTCTCCGCTTTCCTGCATTCACACTACTGCTTTTCATGCTGATGGCCTTTCAAAAACAATGCCACCACACAAACATCAAGTACTGGATTGTAAGCATGGGGTGAGGCCTGTGTTGTGTAAATAGTATCAGGGGTCTGTGGTTTTCCACAGCTAAATAAATCCATCAAACAGCCATCTCATCACGCGCACACACATACTCACAACTAAAAAAATCCAAACACGCACCAGCAGAGATGAAGAGATCCAACCATCTTTTACCTGTGTGGCTGGGAAAAGCCCTCTTTGAAGATGTCCTGAAGCTTCTCAACAATATCATCCACATGCACGGGGATCAAACTGCCATACTGCTGGAGTGACTCTTCCAGAATACCTACAAACAGGAGATATCTTTTTAACAAAATAAAGAAAATAAAAAATGGAATCTTCTCAACATGCAGATAAAAGTTTCAAGTAGAAACTAGTTCCTTCCTCTGCTTTCATGCTGTGATCCAGGCCCCCTGCTAAAAGGGCCGGCCTTCTGCCAATCTCAAAGTTGAGAGGTCTCATCTGGACAATACACGATACATTTGAGGGGCAGGGACTGCCTAGCCTGAGTAATCATCGAGGTTTCTACTGTGACATCTCAGCAGCTACATGCAGTTCCATCATTCTTAAAAAGAGTAAAAGCACAATGTGAGAGGTTTACTCAGGACTCAGTCAGTCTGCATTCAACTGTTGGAAAACAAACATTCCACCAATGCTCAAGTCAGATATCCTGCTTATTCCAAGGAGGACATCTAAGCGTCCTAACTAAGCATTCCTTTCAAACAAGCAAAAAATACATTACACACTTTTGTAGATTGACTGAAATGTGTCTGTACATCATAAGAAGTAAATGCGAGAATCCAATCTTTGAGCCATACCGGTGACACAGCTTGTGTGTTCCTCACTGAGAGCCACTTCCACAGGTTTGAACTCTGCTTCCCGTCTCACCTTTTCCTCTGGTTTTTCTGAAGAGGGGCCATTCATCTGCTTAGCTACCAGAGGCAATTAAATAAATTCAAAACATGTCAAAATGTGAACAATATTTTGCATTCCAAAGGTTTCCACCTAAGCAAATTCTGTGTGTTACGGTCCACTTGGACTTTTGTCAACCCATAAACAGACTGCATCACACATACAAGCAACTACATAACAGACCTTTGCTACAATAATAAAAGAAAAAGCCTAAGAATCTACTTGTTTTTTTCCCTGTAACCTTTTCAGGGCAGGATTTTAAACTGCTCTATTAGGTCCTCCCAATACACTTTTCGAAATCGGTTACGAGTTTCCGTGCCAAGGGAATAATCTGCAGCATAAAAAGGGAGAAGCGCCTTGTAACCATTAGAGGAGGCTGCGTGTTGCATGGGTGTACCTGTGGTGGGCACCGTCATGTGCTCCTCACTGCCAGCATCCTCTCCATCGCTGAAAGATGTTAGCCGACATCTTTTGAACCTCTTTTGCTTGCCGTACAGTTTGTACTTTAACCCCCTTCGACGCAACTGGTACCCCAAAGAGCATATCAAGCGGGCCCTCAGGCGCCAGCTCTGCCAGTTCTGAGCCAGCCGAACTCCATGGGATGGCAGGCGCCTCGGTCTTCTCAGGGCCCTGGACCTACTGAGGTGGGACCTGAACAAGTCTCTGCCTTCAGCCTGTGAGAAGACGGTGTCTACGGTGGCCTCATCAACTCTCTCTGCCTTCTGTTGTTGTCCGTGATGCTGGTGCTGTTGGGAATAATGGTGTGGGGGGAACTGGGAAGGAACACCTAAGAGCTCCCACTCCCCTTTCTTCTGGTGGCCCCCCTCTTCCACTTCATCTTCCTCTCCATTGTTTTCCCAGGCCTTTTCTTCTCTCCGATTCTCAGTGTACAGATTGTTTACTTCCTCCTCATCACCTATTGTTTCGATCTCACCTGTCCCATCCTCCTCATCTACATACTCGCGTGTCCACAACTTTTCCTTCTGCCCCAGTCTGAGGTGCATAGGGCTGGACACACTGTGGCCCGACACGGGGTCTATGAGGTGGTCTCCTGGAATCCCACCTACACACAGACAAACAACAATTAGACTGACTGCAGCATCCTGGGACATCCACAAACAGCTGCCCTGGACGTTTTCCACTTGTGAATACTCGTTTTCTCTGTAGAACAATTGACACCAGATAGTTTGGAAATTGCCTTAAAACCAGCCGTGCACATAGCTGGTAGGCAGGAATGCAGCAAAAAGAAGGAATGCACGTCAGTTTCCTTATTTCTGTTGCGCCCACAGACCCCTTATGTGCACGGCTCTGATTGAAGGGCAGCAACCATTGCTCTTAAAACCATTTTAAGACCACATCTGAATGCTCCAGAGCAGCAAACTGACCAAACCAATGCTCTCACAGAGCTGCTCATACTCAGATAATCATTCAGAGCCTTAAATCAGCAGCTCCTGGCGGTAGGCTACTTACCCTCTGAACCCCTGTGGAAGCAGTACGGGTGGAAATTGTATTTGGAAAAATCATTCTTTTTTTTTAAAAACTTAAATTACATGAAAATGTTTGGGATTTTAAAAAGGCACACCTTATATTTTAAAGTCTGTACATTTTTTATTTGCTCTAGAAAACTGAACAAGCAAACATTTCAGAAGAATTGCTAAAGTAAAGAATGTTATTCAAGATGAGCTACATCATCTCCAATACAACTCTGACCCTTTTCCCATGTCCAGCACCTCCGTCTGTGTCTTAGTACCAGAGGAGTCAAGTGGCCTTTCCTCAAGTACCTACTCATCTCTACTTGGCTTCATCTAATTTGTTTTCCATTACAGCTAGTACGGTGTTGGTGTGTGGGGGGTCCTGCGACATCATCTGCATGCCACACAAACAGGACAGCGGACGGACACAAGGCCAGGCTCTGCCTACCGCACCTGTGGTACGACCAGTGTTGGTGCGAGTGGAGCCATTTACCCACGGATGACCACAAAAATAAGAAAATGACACAGCCACGGCTGACCGAGTTCCTGAGAATGGAATCGATCACCCTAAAATACCAGAGATGGTCATACTCTGCTCTCTGTCCCAGAAATTGAAACTCTTCCAAAATGTGGTGCTCCTTAATCTCCTAAAACTGTAGACATCATTTAGAATGTTTTGCATCGAGCCAATTTAAAAAGAAAGGGAGAAAAAGGCTAAGCCTGAAGCGTTTACCTCCTCCGGTGTTGTCCTGACCCACAGCAGTCAGGCCCAGGTCTCCCTGCCAGCGGTTCTGGGCCAGGCTACCCCCACTGTCTCGCATTGTCCACGGACAACCCACAATCTGCGCCAGTTCGTCACCTAGGAAAGTGGAGGTAGAAAAACAGACCATTTCATGTGGGAGTTTCAATTTGTTCCAAGTTGGGGAAGTGACGGCGACGGTAGCCGGAGCTCTGAGTTTTACTGCAACACCACAATGACCCTCCGAACTGCGTCTGACTGATGCTTCAGTGTGTTCATTTTCCCCCAGCTGGAAACCGCCATAAGGCCCTCAGAAGCTGACATATCGCGCTTCCTGGCCAGTCTGCATCGTTTTGCAATTCCTTACCATTGTGAAGGACTTTGTTGTGTCAGCACTGCCATTAAAAGCCCATAAATTACAGATGTGTGTGGTCCATGGAGCTATCCAGTCACATACTCATGTGGGTGATGCTGCTGAGCACGTGAACAGATCACACGCATCTGTTTTAAGAACAGTGCTGTTACACCCGACTACTCTACACAGAGGGAAAAAAGGCCTCAACCCTCTAGAGATTGTTTACAACTAAAGCTTTAAACAGCTATACAAACGCAACGTGTAAGTCAGTGTGTCTGATCACAACTTTGGACAAAGCTTTAAAATATTTTCAATTTTTGAATTATATTGCATCCACATTTTGTGCGAAAAGCAGGTTGGCGACTTAACTGTGATCCTTTTTTTCATTCTTTGTGCATATACTTAAAAACAGCCATTAAGCTGAAGACCTGTCGGGCCGGGTTTCCCTGACAACCTGAGGAGCCACAAGAGGAAAAGCACCGATAGATGTAGTAATGAGGGAGTCCAATATGCAACACAAGGCTTCCCTTTCTAATGTGGCTAGGCTGGACTCCTCATGCCAGGACCGCCAGCCCTCACTGTGGCGGCCAGGGAGATGACCAGCTCTACCAAATCCAAGGCAATGGTTCTAAAAGAGAAAAAAGGTGGAACGCTCTCATCAGGCGCAGCGAAAGTCACTGCCTGATGGCAGAGGACTTTAAAACCGTCAGAATCTTCTTCAGGATTGGTGGCAGATTGAAAATGAATTGGGTGTTTGTCAGCAGTAATTAGGGGACTGCTCCAGTCTGTTGTGACAGAACCATCGTTGGGCTCAGCTTTAGAGATAAGGTGGGAAATTCAGCCATCCGGATGGAACTAGAGGCCCTGTTTCACTGCATCACACAGCCGGTTCAGGCGTCAGTTAGGACGCCTCCAACTGGGAACGGGCCCCGGACAGACCTCAGAACTGGCTGGAGACATTACCCCTCCTGGCCTGGGAACAGCTCAGGATACTTTGATCTGATAAATGTCCTGCAGTGGGCATGACAACCGACTCAGGATATAGAAGATATTAACCCGGATTCATCCGAATTCAAAAACTTCTCTGCATGCCTTAAGCCATGGCTTTTAAATACGCGTCAGCTATGTTTTTTAGGTCTCTTGATCTAAACTTTATGTAAGATACCAATATTACATCTGCAACCATGTTTTTGGACATTTTAACAAAGTCTTATCCAAACAGCTCTTATTCTGCATTGCAGCCATGGTAGGAACTGCTGCAATCTTCTCCACACTCAAAACAATAGTTCAACCTTTAAGCAAAAGCAATTATGCCGTCGGAAATATCTCAAGGCTCAGTATTCAAAGCTGATTTACTAGTCTTGAATGGATAGCCAGAGTGAGATCAAAGTTTGTACACATCCCTACAAGAGTTTGCCTGTCTATTTTTCTTTAAAATGGCATCCTATGAGCACCTTAAAGTCTTCAAAAAACTAAGATACACCCAACACACCACTGCAAAAGGTTCTAAGAGTCTATCCAAAATACAGCCAAATCTCATCACTTCAGCCTGATGGAATTTGGCATGTAAAGTACTTCCATGATATAGACATGAGCCAAAATGATGCAGTATCAACTTGTGGAAAAGGTTCAAGGCTATCGAAGCTGTTCGACAATATTCCTCTGTCTGGTCTGCTGTTGTTTTTGTCCTCCGCTCAGCCCTGGACATCAGGTAGTCAGAACCATCCCTTCTCCCTCAATATTCACCTCTGTTCCACACAAACGCAGGACTCTTTAAGCCCAGATTCGGGGACAGAGACGGGCAGGTTGATTTGCCTCTGACCCCCCCCCCCTCGTTCTGAATGGACCTGCCACCAGCTTTGGGTCATTTTGTCCTGCCCCGTGGCTCGGACACTGGGCGGCTTTGACGTGAGTTCTGGCTGTTTGGGTCAGAGGAGAGCCCTCTCAGGCTGCAGTCTGACCACCATGTGGACCTCAGGCAGACTGACCACCATGTGGACCTCAGGCAGCCAACGGCGACTTCCGTCCAGTTGCATTCAATGTCATCTGTGTCCGCGCAACGCGAGGGAATTAGCACCGAGGACAATTCCAGATGAAACACATATTACCCGAACAGTCCATCAATCCTATCTACGCAACATTTGGTTGGAAAGGGCCCATAGTAAGAGCCCATTCAGGAAATAGTCCATGATGGTAGTATTTTGTGCGCGCGGAGCTAGCAGAATGGCCGTCAGTTTCCCCACTACATCTTCAATCCACCGCTCACTAAACTCAAAGAGATTTTTTTCCTCAACTTTATTTGGCTACAGATGTTGTATCACCACTGCAATCACTACGGAATTAGTGAAATGACGGAATTCTTCCATAACTTATCATCTGACCCTGCTAATGTGTTAGCCGTTAGCCATGTTGTCCTCAGCTATCTAGGCTGTGTGTATGTAGGTAGCATGCTAGCAACAACTGCTGCAAAAGCCCGGCGTCTGCATGCTTTACGGGAGTTAATGTAATAGTTGCATAGTTACCTTTCAGCAACAGATTTCCTGACTCAAAGGAGAACTTTCTAAAGAAAACAGACCCAGACCAATGCTAAGTGCTGTTCACCCTCATTCAATTAAATCAGGTGTGGAGCAGCCAGATGTCGCCCTTCTTCTCGTTGGCGTCCGGACGGCTGGAACAGAGCCCCACACTGCTGCCCCCTACCGGCCTGGAGCGGGAACCCGCAGCGTGACAAAGAAACACCGTTCTGTTCAGGAAGTGAGGCTGGTGGAAAGAGGGGAAGTGGGACTAATTAACGGCCATGTATTCCCCATAATGCTCCTACGGAGCGATTATTCTGAAGTTAAGAGCCAATTCTTTGAATTTTTCTCTTTTTTTCCTCCTCCACTTGCCCTAACCCTACATTAGATAACCACTGGAAATACTAGAAAGTCTCCAAATAAGTCTTTGAACAGATTTTGAACTTGTACTTGTATCTTAATGTTTTTCTTTTGTACACCTACTATTAATATCCTGTTGATGCTGATTTGTAAAATATATTAACTTATTGATTAGACTATATTGAGTAGATTGTTATTAATGCATTATTTACCAGTTTATGTATGATTAATCTCTTGCTTTTATTGTGATTTTACAGTTTTGTCTCAATGTTGGTTTATCTTATTAATCTTTTTGATGGGATGAGAGGAGCACCGGGGCTGCATGATGATTAACCCATTGCCTCACAGAGAGAGGAATCTGGTTGAGGGCCTTTCTGTGTGGACTTGGCATGTACTCCTAGCCACAATTTTTGTGTAACACTGGTTGAAGACTATAATTAATCAGACAATAAATTCCTGAAAAATGTGTTGCTACTATAAGTAAGACTAAACTTATCAGTGTAATAGAATTACTACCAAACGCAAACAAATAAACTCCTTTGATTCCTGCCCAAAAATGTCCTTCTGCATCCACTGCTATGACCAATGAGAGAAAACAGATCTTCACTTATTTGCTGTCATATTTCTTTTTAGGCACCATTTGGTATTTAAAAAAATGGCACCATGTAATAGCATACTGGAACATCTGTGCTGAGAATGAGTTTGAGGTCCCAAGTCAAAGTGGGAGAGGCCTTCAAATGGGATAGTTTGACAGAGCTAAGATGCTGTTGAACTTCCATACCCAGATCCATCAGCAGGGATCGCTACTCAGCTGGACATTTTGGTGTTGTTGAAGAGGGCAGAGTTCCGAACCAGGTCTGTGGAGGCAGCTCATGGAGTATTGGTTCATTTGAGTGACTGCTGGGAGGTCAAACTTTGACCAGATCGATGTATATAATGTCATCTCTGTGTGTTTGAAAAAATACATTATCAAAATAAGTGTTTCCAATTAAAAAAACATTGCCTGGGCCGCAGCTATAGCCTAATGGCTAGAGCGGGCGGCCCATATGCAGAGCCTCTGCTCGCAAGCGGGCGGCCTGGGTTTGAATCCAGCCCATGGCCCTTTCCCGCAGGTCTCCCCCTCTCTATCTCTGCCCCCTTTCCTGTCAAGCTACTGTCATTAAAGGCCACTAGAGCCAAAAAAAATATCTTTAAAAAAAAAAAACATTGCCTAAGTCTTGTAATTCTTCACGCAAAACTAATAGGTGTGGAGACCAGAGGTTCTTTGGAGCAGGCTTTATGTGTGTCCACCTGACTCCAGCAGATGGCAGTGTTTGCTAAGTGAGGCTAAAATTGAAATGGATAACATTTTAGATACGTTTAAAGTGGAGAGTCCATCCAGCCATTGATCCTTTTTTTATTCCCTAATGGGGTCACTCGGGGGACTGGAGCCTATCCCAGTAGTCAATGGTGAGAGGCGGGGCAACCCTGGACGGTCCACCTGTGCATCACAGGGTAATGTGGAGAGTAAAACAATTAAATAAAGGTGGTCACAAAACTGTTTGATAAGAATCTTGGCCTGTAGATTAGAAAGAACAAGTAGGATCTGCAGGATCTTTTGATTTGTGCCATTTGCTCTCGGCGGTTCTGCGGTAGATATCTACATGTCTGTACATATATACATATATATACATATATACATATATAGCAATCAATCAATCAGTCTTTCTTCAATATTCATTATTTTTGTAGAAGCAGCAAGTTGCACATTTGTGACACGCCCTGGGAATATGGGTGTTTCACAAATGTGCAACTTGCTGTCTTCCATCCCTCTTTTTCTGGAGGAAATGATCACCGGAAAGAGTGGTCTCAGGGCGCAGTGAGTGTTGGTGGGCTGGAATGCTGACAGAAGCCCTCACACCTGTGAGGCAGCGGTTTTCAGACTGTCAGAGAACTTCTTACTCCTTCAAAGCTCTTCAGGTGAAGCCATAGAACTACATCTCTCACTCGAAACTGCTTTTAAACACACTGGGCATAAAAACAGGGAAAATTGTTCACCTTGGCAGCATTTTCCTATTTTATCAGAAAATCCTATCGAGACCGCGGCGTGGGCTAATGGTTACAGTGGGCGGACCGTGTGTGGGTTTTCAGAATTTTAAGGTAACCTAATTGCCGTCCATCTTGAGTCCCTATGAACAAACCTTTCAGCTGCTACTCTTCATGTGATGTAAGATAAGAATGTTAATCTTTAATGAGAAACATACTTCAATACAGAGCTAAACAAAACAATAAAGAGGGGCTGAAACATTTAGAGGCACTATACATAGCCAAAATGCTCAACTTTTTCAATAGACTTTATTCTATACTATGCTGGCCCACAGTACAATTTGTAGTTGTGTTTTCTCTTTTGAGAGCAAAAGCTCTTTTCACTTATAATAACGCAGCCGTAGTATGTGTGAGTCAGTTTGTGTCCTGTCCAAATACAAGACAGGCATTAGTAGTTTATCAGTGAAGAGGCAGGACCAGCAGACGCTTGATGTGTAACGCAAACACACAAATACAAATTCTTATACAAGCATGGGATCCCTTTTACTATGTTCATTACTCAGTTTTAGTATTTCCATCATGAGTAAATACTGTGATATTCATATGACTTTGTAAATGCGATAGGCCTGTCTGTTTCTTTTGAATTCCTTGTGGTGGCAGCAGAGGATAATTGATATGTTCCCTGTTAAAGTTTAGGATTAAAGTATAACATTTTATGTGGTCAGTATTTTTCTATAGATGCTGATCATGAAGTGTTGATTATGATATATTATTAGGAATATCATATATATAAAAAAACAAAATATCTGTTAGAAATGCAAACTGTTGCTTTACAGCCATTTTGTCTAACCGAGCATTGAATTCTGTGATGTGTTCCCATTCAATTAGAAATTCTTTTTTTTGTTTATTTTTGTTTCTTACAAAGGAGAACAAGTAGCATGATAGTAACAGTCTGGCCCAAGTGGGCATGATTGAGATCTGAGAAAGAAAGGGCTGAACACATTTTTAACCATGACATTATCAAAACATCTGTTTTCATTTGGTTTATTAATGAAATTATTGGATTCTGTTTACGTCTTGTTTTTTTAACCAAAAAATAGAATATTCGATTTCACCTCATTTAAAAATATATAATTAATACGAGACAGCCCAGAGTGTGCCAGACTGTGTCTGAGAACATGGTGAGCAACACAGGGGACTGTACTCAGACTGGGAGAACAACTCACACTCCTTTATCTCCAGAAAAGAGGCTGAGAACAGAGAAGTGAATGCTATGTAATCAGAATGCAGTCACAAATGTTTTGTGCACATAAAATTCAAATTACATCTGGTCTCAGTCAGAAAACTGACATCAGAAGAAATGTCATGTCAATGCACGTCAAAGATCGGGTCCAGACTAGTTCAAATAAAACTAATCGCACTACTTCATACAATGATAATCCAGTGAAATCACTTTGAAATGAAACCAAAATGAAAAGGACAAAAACAGAATGTCAGCAGCAGCAGCTCCTTCTTTGGTAAAAGTTCAAACTGACAGATTGTCCCACTCACCCCCATTTTGTTTAACGATGTGGTAGTCAGCTTTGCAAAATGAAAACTGTTCCCCTGGAGGAACTCTGGTGAAATTGCAGCTTGACTTTAATCACTGTGCATATCAAGTTAACAAATGACACATTCAGTCTTTCCATTTCTCCACAAAGCAGACACTTTTATCTTAGGGAACCTAAAGATACATGAAAACTAAGACTAATTTACAACCAACAGTTGTTTGGAATCGTTTTTGGAGAGAGCAGATCTTTTGGTTGGTGAAGTTCAGTTCATGAGATACAGCCGGAACAAAAAGGGGGGGGGGGCTTGGAATGAAGTATGAGAGGTTAGTGATAGTGGTTATCTTTTGTAAGTGAAACCTGGATGGTCTTTGTGATATACCAATACCTCACAAACAGGCCACCGATGTGTTTTCAAAATGAGTTTGAACTACTGGCACCCATGAACTGAAATCTATTCCAGCTTTGAACTTCTATTAATTCAAGGGTCTACTCGAGTCTGTGTCCACATGCTTCTCGACAGCCTTAATCCAACTTCATTGACTTCTCTGAATTTCTGACTGGCCCTCTGCTCAGATTTGATAGTGTTTTAATCCTCTGGGACTAGTGTCTGCGGCCCAGACAGGCCAATGGCCAGTAAAAGGCCCCAGGTTTGAACAAACACAGTTTAGTAGGCCAGTGTCTTCTTCTTTGGATTCTAAATGTTGCCAGAAAAAGAAACATCTGGACTGCGGGCAGGTCTGTCCTCATCTGGACTCTTCTCCACCAAAGCACTGCTGCTAGGAGAGATGAGGATTTGGTTTAACGTTGTCCTGTGTAAATATGAAATATGATAACCCGGATCTACCTGTCAGCTCTGATGGAAGTTCTCCAGGTGGAGATAGTTTTTACTATCCTCAAACTTTCCAAAGCATAAAAGTAAGGCACCGGTGAACAAATCTGTCAACATTCTCTATCATATGCAAGCAATGCGTTTTGAGGATGATGCCATAGCCATGTACTAGCAAAGTGGGCCACAAGGATGTGCCATGAAACACGTATGATGTTGGTCCTGTGTGAAGCTATGGTATGTCCAATGCAGTTGAACCCCTTCTTGCCTCCCAGGGTCTCAATATAATGTCCTCAAAACATGGCATATCTTTGCTGTTTTATCCTGCCTTTAGGCGAGGTTGGCTTTCTTTGCTTTTTGAAGGAAAAGTACCCCGTGCCCCTCCCCCAGCAGTCCAACACACATACACACACGCTAGTTACCCACTCTATCCCTTGTTGAGTCCTAGATCCTAGGGTTGGGTGGGTGGATTATGCAAGCATGAGGCTCGTAAAAGGCCTGCCACGGTCTTTCTCTGTGTGACGGATGGCTGAGAGACTGAACAGGCCTGTTTTGCATGAGAAGAGAAGGTGGCAGAGGGAAGAATAGAGGTCTATTCAAAGGGGCCTGTCACCCAAAACCACCCTCCTATACCAAACCCTTACACCCACCCCTCATCCATTCCTTCATCATTTCATCTCTCCTCCTCCTCCCTTGTTCTCCCTCTACAGTGCCTGTCCTTTCTCCTTCATTTTGTGGTTTTGTTGGTCCATTTCATTGCCTCTTTCTCACCCTCAGTCTACTCCCCACCCCCACTTTGCTGTCATCCTTACTTCTCATTTCATCCTAATTAATTTCAGTTTGAATTTCCTCTCCTTTCCATCAGGGTGTTTTACCTTCATCCTCTGTTTTTTGTGTGATGGTGAATGAGGACCCATAATTGACGTTTCATGGTCAGCGTTCTAGAATAATTAAAGTAGCTATGTGACTTGATGGTGACACGCTGACTGAATCAACAGTTGAAATGGGAGATGATATTGTGATTTCATTAAAAAAATGTCTGAGGAATTGGCTGTTTTTTTCTCTTTGGTTCCTTCCACAGATGTAATATGTTATACCACTATCATAAAAATAGACCATCTGAATTTCTACATACATATTCATGCTTCAGAGTCTGGCCAAAAAGGATTGAGCAGAGAGGGAAGGTCTGGGCTTCCCTGCTTAAGCTGCTGCCCCCACAGCCCGACTCAGGATAAAGAAGAAGGATCTAACAGACTGCTGCTGCAGGAGGATTCCAGGATTAGCTAAAAGTGACCAAATAACTTCTGCATCAGCCTGCAACAGAACTATGAGTCACAGATGATGTTGATAAGGTTTCAACTTTTGTATCCGTCTGATCGGTTACAGAATAGGGATGAACACACTGCTATTGTAAAGCTGCATTGTCACGACTGATGGGGAGGATCCAGGCGTATGCACGAGCAGGGAAACCCAGGCTGGAATCAAGGAAAGTTAGGAGGACTAACCTATTTACAAAAACAGCAAAAGGCAACGCAGTAGCTGGACACAAAATAATAACTAAACTGGGAAAAACCAAAAGAACACCTTAAACCAACAATCAGACTGGAAACAAGAGCAGAGACAGACACATGGAGACCAGAACAGGGTAAGTCTGAGGACTGGCGGCATGGCAGCAGGGGCTGGCACGGAGCGCCATGGCGACAAGCCTTCATAGACAAGAGAGTGATCAGAGGGATGTAGCACAGGTGAGAATGGAAACACAGGTGCAATGATAAAGCCGGAGGAAACTGAGGACCGTGAATGAAGCTGGTGGAGAACCAGGGAAACATGGAGGATACATGGAGGAAACAAGAATTAAACTGGAAGCCAGGAACAAACCCCAAAGACTACTAAAATAAAACACAGGAAACTGAAACATGAGAAAAACTAAGAGACAAAACTGAGCTCAGCACAACTCACACACCACTACGTCAGTAACAGACAAAACAGCAACCGAAAAGGCCACAAGAGGGCTTCAAAATGATAGCAAACACATTCAGCATACATGCAACATTTGAGATTAATTAGACTCAATGTTTACATATAAATCAAACTTTTAAGGCAGCTGGCTTCCCTGCAGGTACTCCTGCTTTTCAACTGTCCAAAAACATGCCTGTTAGAGGACTTCCGGAGGTTATGTCTGCACTCCAAATCAAACTTTTTCATGACAGTCTGAAATATTGGATTTTCTCAAATGTGACCCAGGCCACCTGGATGTGTGGTCCTGAATCCCATATGTATCAGGTCTTTTCAAATGTGACCTGAGTGTACAGCCAGCTCTCATTCACCCCACCTGCAGGTCATTGGTACTCCACAAAAGCCACTTTACAGCGTCCTGCTAAGCCAAAGAAAAACTGATTATAATGCAGAGAACAGTCAGAGGACAGCAAGCGTAACTGATGAGTTATTTAGGATTTCCCAAGAAATGGTCGAAAAATAAAGAGCCTCCTGGCCAAATATATGGAGACTAAAGCCTCACATGAAGGGAGAGGCAGTGGAGGTGCCACCTGTTAGATGCCACACCGGACATTACTTCACCCTCTCTGTGCACCTCAGTTCACACCCACCATCAGAATACAGACACACATCTAAAACCAAGCCATGAGGTTGAGATTGAACAAAAATGGATTTGGTTCACTTCAGGCCTCAGTGTACAGAGGTGATGGTGGTGGAAGTAACGGTGGAACCTCCTGAACCAGACTACTGGTTCCTCAGAGGGGGGGGGGGGGGGGGGGGGCCGCTTCCATACCCAGACGGGTGCCTCAGGGGGGGGGAGGTCTGCTTCCTGTACCAGACTGGTTCCTCAGAGGGGGGTCTGCTTCCTGAAGGCTCTGCCTCAGGTTCTTGGACGGGTTGTACTGAAATCCTTCATTTCATTGCACGGGACGCCGGAATATGATTGAATAAAATTGATTGATTGATTCTGCTTTAAAAACTCAGGAACAACCTGGAGAACAGCAGTCGTAGAGCGTATGGGTTTCAAGAAATAAGATATGAAAGTTAGCTAGTTGGTAATGTTATTCCTTCTTCTGATGGTATGTAACATTACATCACTGCCTTTTTTACAAAGCCAGGTTGGACAGAACTGGGTGTTAACACTGACCCAGAACACCTGCAGCGCTGAAGGGCTGGAGATCACAATGATGGGGTTTGTCCATTAGTAGCTTCTCAGCTCTCCTCCTGTATTCCCCAAACCATGACACTCCCTCCGCCTTTCTCTGCCCTTATACTCATAGCCCTGCATGCCTGGACAGCTCAGTTGTGACTCATGAGACAGATCCATACCATGTTGATATATTGTGAGGACGTAATACAGCTTTGGAACGACCACTTTCCCTTTTTTAGCTACATGGACAAGCTGCTGCCAGAGGATTTCAACTCAAGATCTTACAAAAGAGAATTAAATCTGCTAGGTTATGCGGTCCTTTAAAAGGGTTAGTCAGAAAATAGCTGAAACCAGCACCAGGTGCCAGATTTAACCCAAAAACGGAGAGGTCTCTGAATCTGAAGAGAGAGAAAGGGGTGGGGTGGGGGGTGGGGGGGGGCAGAGTTTCTGTTCGGTTCGACTAAGTGTAGGGAAACATTGCCTATCTATGAGAAACGGTGTCTCATGTTCCCATCCCATGCCTTTGGGGATGCTGAGTTCCAGCTGCCCCCCCCCGGCTCCGGGAGAGGCTCCAGCCCACCGGCCGCCGTGCGCTGAGAGCGGGCTGGGCTTGCTGGGTGGGTCCGCAACTTTCCGATGCTTTTCTTGTGCTGCTTTTCTTGTGCTGCTTTTCTGGTGCTGCTTTTCTTGTGCTGCTTCTCTGTGGGACCGGCCTGCTGCGGAATGCCCCCTCCCCACTCCGTCATCAACAAGTGGCTCTCGCTCCGTCGGAAGCCATTCTCATTCAAATGTCCGGAGCGGGGCCGTAGGCTCTCCCATTGGCTGAGGGCGGGGGCCGGGGGCCGGGGGCGGGGGGCGGGTGAGCCGGGCCGTGAGGTGCAGGGCCAGAGGAGAGCAGCTCCAGCCCCAGAGGAGCTGCTGACAGCCACGCTCACACCTCCACAGAACTCACATCCCCGCGGTCCGTCAGTCTGTCCCGCGGGTGTGACGCCGGTAATTAGCTGCTTGATTTGAATCACCCGGCTCTCCCGGTTAAACCCGCCAGGTGACGGCTCCCGCCTCACTCCCTGTGCTCCCCTCCTCCGGTCAGCCCGACATGTACAGCCTCATGGAGCACGAGCTGAAGCCCTCCGGCCAGCCCCATCCTCACCAGACGCCCCCCGGAATGTCCCCCATCACGGGCACCCTGAGCGGGGGCATGGGGACTAACGGGGGCTCTCACCCCAAAACGGCGTGCGTCCCGGCGAGCGACCCCATGGACAAAGTCAAGAGGCCCATGAACGCCTTTATGGTCTGGTCAAGGGGCCAGAGGCGAAAGATGGCCCAAGAAAACCCCAAAATGCACAACTCAGAGATCAGCAAGCGGCTGGGGGCCGAGTGGAAACTCCTGACGGACGCCGAGAAGCGGCCCTTCATCGACGAGGCCAAGCGGCTGCGGGCCGTGCACATGAAGGAGTACCCCGACTACAAGTACAAGCCCCGCCGCAAGACCAAGCCCCTGCTCAAGAAGGACTCCCAGGTGGGCAAGTACCCGCTGTCCGCCGGGAACCTGCTGGCGGCGGCGGCCCAGAACCCGGCCAGCAGCCCCCGGGTGGAGGGCTACGGCTGGGCCCCCAGCGGCGGCTACACCGGGATGCAGGGCGAGGCGCTGGGCTACACGCAGCAGCTGCACCGGTACGAGCTGTCGGCCCTCCAGTACCCCCCCGCCATGACGGCGGCGCAGACCTACATGAGCGGAGCCAACTCCTACAGGTGAGCCCCACCCCGGGGAGCCCCACCCCGGGGAGCCCGACCCCGGGGAGCCCGACCCCGGGGAGCCCGACCCCGGGGAGCCCCACCCCGGGGGGCCCCACCGACCCCGGGGAGCCCGACCCCGGGGGGCCCCACCCCGGGGGGCCTGGTGGGCCTCCGGGCGCCCGGACAGAGCAGATGTAGTTTAGGATGACCCGGGAGGGGGGGGGGCTTTCTGACCCGCAGGTTCATGGTAAAAGTAGCCGGATGTGGTTAGAAAAAGCCCCGGAGGATCAGTGTGTGGGAGTTCCAACTTTTAACTATTCAACCCACATCTCCTTAAATAATGACCGCGCGCTGGACGTCCAGCAGCCCCGATGACCCCCTGCTGGACGTCCAGATCGGGGCTGCTGGACATCCAGCGTGCTGTCATTATTTAAGGAAATGTAGGTTGAATAGTTATGTTGCAGAGCGTCATCGGTTCTGCTGGATGTCCAGCAGGGGGTCATCGGTTCTGCAGAGGGTCATCGGTTCTGCTGGACGTCCAGCAGAGGGTCATGGGGGCTGCTGGACGTGTGGATGGACTGATGGCCGGCGGCCTGGCTGCTCCCTACTTGTTATGCATGTGGCACTGCCTGGAATGTTGATCAGGCTGACTTGATGGCAGGCAGAGAGGCTCTGTGTGAGGCCACCCATAGCCCCCCCCCCCCTCCCCCCCCCCCCCTGCCAGCCCACCCCCACCCTGCCAGCCCATTGTCCCCACAACAGAGGACTTTTTACCTTCTGCTGTAGGTTACAAGTGCCCAAACAGCACAAATGGCCTTTTTGATTGGATTTGTGTTGGAATCAAACATTTCAGTTCTGAAAGCACCTCAGTCTTAAAAACTAACATTTCTTCCCCTACTTTTAGAACCTCAAAGGGGTATCTGAGGGCATTTTGGGCCTCTATAGGAGCAGGAGCTGCTGGCTGGTGGAGGGCCTGGCTTCATGAGCCTCTCCAGTTCTTATGTGGTGGTGGGGATGTCTGGGGGTAGCAGTGATTTCAGGGATGTTGGAGGCTTTCAATGAAAGGCAGACTGTAACATGGGGTATCCAACTCTCCTCAGCCCTTCTGCAAATACCTGGAAGTCTTAGTCCATTTGTTTCCATCACCTCTATTTTAGAGGCCTGTTTTGAAATGCACATGCCAAGTTCCTTTTTGTTTTTTAAGAAGTGGCGCTGGTTTTGTGTGTGAGATGGGATCCTGCTGAAGGAAACAAACTGCTGGTGTTCAGGATGCCACCAGACTGCCCCAGGAGTGTAGCTTTGCCTGTGTCCCGGGCAGGGGAAAAGGAGGAGGGCCTCCAGGCTGACCAGGGCTCTATGATCCGCCACACTTCCAACACTCAGTGGTGGCCGGCTGGTTGTGTAAAACTTTTTGGGAGGCTGTAAAAGTATCCACACGCCTTTCATGAGCAGACAGTCCCGCATTAATGATAGGTCTTGAACATTTGACCAGCATACGTGCCCTGTATGAGGAGGGGGGGTTCCTGTTAAAAAGATGTATGCGTAGACTGTATTTGACCTGCAGTTGGTGAGCTCCCAGAGGTGGACTCAGGCAGGTGGAAGCCCCCCGGCGCTCTTAGAAACTGGATGGACAGTTGTCCATAGCATGGGCATCATGTTCCTCCTCTGTGTGCTCACTAACAGGTCAGTGTTGGTCTAACTTTGCCCTGTCTCCCCCCCCCCCCACAGCCCCATGTCGTACAGCAGCAGCCCCCAGCAGCCCAGCCCCGTGGCCATGTCCATGGTGAAGGCAGAGCCGGTGTCCCACTCGCCCTCCCCCGGGACGCCCACCCACCACCGGGGGGCTCTGCAGGGCGACCTCAGGGACATGATCAGCATGTATATTCCTGGACCGGGGGGGGACGGCTCTGACCCCGCCAGCGCACAGAGGGGCTACACCAGTGTCCAGCAGCACTACCTGAGTGGGACGGTTCCCCTCACACACATCTAGCAGCAGCAGGAGGGGGGGGCTGGGACTGGAGGCAGATCTCAGGACGTGCAGGCTGGATGTCCCCACTGACCCCCCCCCGCCAGCTGCCCGCAGCCCCTTTCCCTGAAGCCTGTGGAGGAAACACTCCTGCCATGCACAGGACCTTTTTCTCCAAATTCTTTTTCAGAGTAAGCGACCTGTCGGACTCCCTCCGTCCCCTAAAGCCTTTGAACCTGGAGCTTAGCACAGGGCCCCCGCCTGCCCCCCCGACCGCCCCCCCGCCTGCGCCCAGCCCGGGGCCCAGCCCGGGGCCCCGGTCAGACCCCTCCCCTCTCCAGTCCTGCCGGTGGGCAGCAGCAGGCCGACACGATGGCGCAGTGGGCTTCGTTGGGCCATGGCGTCCTCAGAAGTGGACAGAGCTCATCTCCTGGGGGTCGGTGGTGGATTAGTGTGAATAACGGCCCTTTTCCTTCCTTGAACAGAACACACATTTCCACGATGAGTTCTGACCGTTCCACTCCTCTCCTCACTTTGGGGCCTTGCTGGGCTGAGTGCGAGGCTCTGCCTCTGTCCAGGAGCACGGCCCGGGGAGTGGGGGGGGGGGGGTCCAGGAAGGATTGCACAACTTGAAGGTTTTGTTTGTATGGACTTTGTGACCAAAGTTCACTGATGACTGGAGTCCATTTTTTTCTGCTATGTTTCTGGCTGTAGGAGTCTTCTTGGCCATAAATAGTTTTAGATTTGCTCTTTCTTGTAAATGTACAGACACGCTCTGTGTTCATGATCACTTTGCTCTAAGCAGGAGTTTTTAGCCTTTTTTTACAGAGTGATTGGAATTTTGGAGGAGATTCCTTGTTTTGCTTCTTTTTCTTCCCAGTGCAGAGACCTCTCTGTTTCTGTGTCTGTCTGCTTTTGTTTGGCCTGCTGACTGCTAAAACCTAGTATTAAATGAGCTCCACATAACTTCTTACTAAATGGCTACTGGAAACAAATGCCAAAAGTGTTTTAGAGAACCACTTTTATCACAGTAATGTGTGACTGTTTACATGACTACCCCAGTCAGTGGCCAGGTAACTTTTCTACTGGAAGATGTGTATAGAGGATGTAAATGATGCCCTGTAGACTTTAAGGGAGCAATGTTTGTGTAAATACTGTCTTTATCTTCAGACTCATGGACTAAGAGGCTGGATTTCTTTTTGATTACAAATCATTTGAGGCACTCATTAATAAAGTTCAAATCCTTTTTCATGAATGAAGTCATTTTGAAAGTCCCTAAACTGCATCATACACCATCATCTGCATCAGCCAGTCGGACGGCAAAAGCAACGTTTGGTCAGATTAACACCCATTTTAAAAAAAAGAATTCCTACTGCATCTCTAGCTGCTCCTGTAATGATCTAACCCCGTCCTAACGCGGCTCTCAGCCTCCCCCCCTGTGGCGGCCGTGAAGCCGCAGAGGCTGGGCAGAGCACGGCTCTGTGTGTGAGGTAAGTAACGCCAGCTCAGAAACCCTGACTCTTCACAGACCCTGGACCAGGATCCTGTGAGGGGGGGGTGTGGGCCAGCGTGGGCTTTCCCTTCTCCATGAGCCCCGTCCTACCCCAGACCCCACATCCCCACAGAGGCTGTAGCCAGTATCTGTGCACCCCTAAGCTGGATGACTTCTGAAGTCACCCAGTGAATAAGACTAGTGGGGGGGCATAAGTCTTTCCAGTGGTGGTCACTGGACAAACCGCCCTCTGACCTGGTGCCAGTCCAGCAGCACCAGACACGCACCTGTTGAAGCCATTCAGGAACAAAAATCCTGAGAAGGAAATGAGTAACGTTCCCGAAAGGCTGTTTGGAAAAGGTCGGTACTAAACGCCTCTGAGATTCCTGCGATCCCCAGAGGTCCTGAGACCACCTCCACTGGTCAGCAGCCCTCAGAGGACAGGCCGGACAGAGCCTGCTCCCAGACCAGCCGTAGAGAGAACTTCAAATGAAATGTTTTATTGTCATTCTACTATCATGTGAGTGTCAGTGTAGTATGGATCTCAAAGAAATGAGGGTGGAACAGCTTTGGGAATTCCTCAGGATTATCTTTACGGATTATTCACGTTCGTATGTTCACACTGTCTCAGAATGCACTTTTCTCTTTGCCCTTGTCGTGCCTTCAATTTACTGCCTCCCCCCTCTCCACTGCACACACACACTCTCTCACACACACACACACACACTCTCTCTCACACACACACACACACACCTCCTCCACACAGCCTTAGAAAAGCGTACGTAATTGGCAGTTTCGGAGGCGCATTGTCCGAGGCTTTTCAGGGTGCAGGTGCATATAGTAAAGCCGGAGTCTCCGCTCCTCCCCTGGGCGTCTTTGTTCATTCTCCCCGCTTTCCTCATTCCCCCACCGAGCAGAAAATTGGGGCTGCTTTCTGGGGGCTGCGTCCTCAGGCTTAACCCTTTCACTGACCGCTGCCTTTCTCATGGAAATGGGACGGAACCGCACACCAGCTAATCGGTCACCGAGGGGAGGGGGGAGGAGGGAGAGGAGAAAAGATGCCGGCTACGGAATCAGCGGGCGGGGGAGGAGGAGCAGGAGCAGATGCTGAGAACAGCCTGAAAAGCCAGCTTTGTCAGCTGGTGTGATGCTACCTCTCTCTGTTGTTGTGTTGCTATCAGTGTAAACTTCCCCACAAATGAGATTCATTTAGTATCTGTAGAAGTTTGGTGATGCAAAGTATAAGGCCGGAGAGGGGGGTCCATGTTTGCCTCTTCTTCTAACATCTGCCTGTGGGCATCTGGAAGCTGGAGTCCAGCTGGTGAACATTTGGGATGTTCCAGCTGCTTTAAACATCTGGAGTGCGGGCAGCTGGTCCCGGGGGTCTTCATGCAGGAACATGCAGGCTGTCCCCCCAAAAGAGCTCCGGATGGGAGCAGATGTGCCCCTGTAATGCCCGTCCCAAAGTGATTAGGAAGGCTGGGAGTGGAAGCCCTGGCCTTGCTAACAGTACCTGTGCGCACACAGTACCTGTGCACACACAGTACCTGTGCACACACAGTACCTGTGCACACACAGTACCTGTGCACACACAGTACCTGTGTACACACAGTACCTGTGCACACACAGTACCTGTGCACACACAGCTGGGGGGGGACATTCTGCCAGCACACACAGACGGGCAACCACTTCCCCAAAGCCTGGTGTCCCGCCCTCAATCCAGAATCCCTGAATTACTGTTTCCTTTAAGTCAAAGAGCAGCTAGTGGCAGGTGTTTGCCGGGGTGGAACCTTTTCTAACAAATAACCACATGAAATAATTCAGATTGTTGGCACCGTATGTTATGTGTTTTGGAAACACTGGATGTAAGTACACAAAGTATCCATGTTTTGTCCGTACACAGGAACAAGTCTCATGTAAACCACCTTTAAGCAGAGAGTAGATGACGGGCACCAGCAAAGTTTGGTGCACAGCCATGCAAAGTGCAGGAAAAGCAGGATCTGGTTTGGCTCTAAACAAGAATTTCAGGAAAGACGATGTGTTGCTGGTTAACAATCCACACATGGCTGTGTGTGGGGGGGCTTTAATGAAAACAAACTTTCTGATATAGTAGAAAGAAGAAATCATTTCTCCTGCTCCTTTTTTTTTAACTTGCTCTTAGTTTGTTTTTGTTTTCTTCCCCAAAGCATTCTTAGTTAGTGATAAAAACATATGAAAGTAATCTTCCCTGAGCTGAGAGGAGGAACAGTAGAACACACAGGCACGGCTTGTTTTGACAGTGGTCAGTGGAAGGGAAGGTACGATAGGGAGGGGGGGTGTGAAAGGGGTGGAGAGAGTGTCAATGGAAGGATTTTCTGGTCCACTACATCAATTTGCCCAGCAACAAGCAGTGAGGCTTCAAGAAGGGGTTGCCATGGATCTGCTGAGGGTGACTTAAAAGTCTCCACAAAGAACTGTGGCCATGCTCCCTGTGTGTGGCTGGGGCTGGATAGCCCCTGCTTTGGCCAGTGGGAATTAAAGGCACAGGCTGCTCATAACCTGTTTGATGCTCATGGATCTGAGTCCTGGATTCTCTCCTGAAAAGTTCATCTGTTTTGACAGCTCTTTCTCTTTTTGCTGTTGTTTTTTTTGTTCATCCAAAGTGCAGGACATAGAAATGGGAGTTTCTCAACTACAAAAATGGAATGATTTGAATATATCTGGTGTTAGGAACAGCTAACTGAGAGGGTAGTGCCATATAACGTAACAGAGAACATAGAGAGGTGTAGAACACAGCAGCCATGTTTATGAGTACACAACCATGTCCCAGTGCGTGTTCCCTACCACACAGCCAGGTGCAGACGGGCACATGCAGCCTGTGGGGGGGCAGAGCTCCTGGTCCTGCTGCTGGCAGCTCAGCGGAGCCCCACTGGATCTGTGGCTCTCTCACTCCACAAAACTCTGGACTTCTCTGTCCTTGTCCAGCTGGCCTGAATGAGCCTGGTTTGCCTCGCTTTAACCGTTTGATTTTTAGTGGTTGCAGGATAAATCGGTCAGTCTTTGCTTTGTACAGAATGGATTAAAGTTATTTGATCTGAATTTCAAATGTATTCTGTGATGGTAGATGTAGGAAAACATGGCAGACTTCATCCGTTATGCTGACCACACTCACGGATAGCTGGTGAAACCATCACTTAGTGAAACTTCAGCAGGTGCTAAAGACAGAAGGTGCTGGATGACTTTCTTTCTGTAAATTCAGACAAAATGAAGTTTTCTCTTTGGCCATGAGCACTTCAGGGAGGAACTGTCCAATCAGTTACTGCACATTTCCTGGTTTGCTGGTCCTACTGTGAGGAACCATCATGTTATTTCTGCCCCCCCCCCCGCGAGGAACCAGTCTGGTTGATGCACCTCTCCTCCCTCTATAGACTGCTGGGGGGGGCTCCCATGATGCACCTGTCCTCCCTCTGGGGTCAAAATACAGAGCAGTTCATTTTATGCAATTCCTCCAAAGGTTAGCTGAAGGTTTGCCACTGAACAAGAGTCAGATTGCGCTTCTCATCCCGGCCGTGAACATGTGCGGCCCCTCTTCAGCAGAAACAAACCGGTTCCAGAGGCCCCCCCAGCAGGGCCGGCCCGCGAGCAGCTGAATGCCATCGGTTGTGTCAGCTTCACCATTTCACCTAGAAGGCCGTGATACCATTTTGTAAAGCTCAAAAGAGTCTTTGCAGCCTTCAGAAACAGAGCAAATAGAGAAAATTCTGGATTGGAATTGGCTTCCAGACCCTGTGAGGGCACAATGTTTACAAATGTAACTTCATCTTTTATCACTGCCTTTGTTATACTTTAAATGGATGACAAATAAAATGTTTTATTGCTATTATTATAGTATCATGTTTGAGTGTCAGTGTGTTCAAGGACAATCCGAGATCTTCAACAGATGGCACTGATGGAAAGTCCATGAGGCAACCAGAAAATCGGCCTCAGTGTGAGTACGCCCTCTACTGGCCACATGAAGGAGGTTTGCGGCAGGTAAAGGCCATAGTCTGAGATGAAGATATTAAAGCCACATTGCTTACAAAATCCCACATTTATTTGTGCCAGAAAACAGCTTTCTGATATTTCAGCTGGACACCACAGGAGCAGGGCTGAGAAAAGCCCACAGCTAAAGTACACTTGATCCCAGCTGGAACCCGCCGCTCAGGTTCTGCAGAGGAACCAGCAGGGCTACACAGCGTGCGGCACATATTCTGTTAGCTCATCACTAATAGCAATGCTGCCTCACCAGCTCTGACCGCCTCTGAAAATGCTCCATGGAAACGTGACGGTAAAAGCCTGCGCGGTCCACCTGGTGTACGGGACATCTGAAGCTCAAACTCTTTTCCCACTTTAGCAGCAAGGAGTTTGGACATAAGCAATAAAATGTGAGGGGTTAGAGTCCTTTTTATTCCAGGTCAGACAGGACAAAACCAACCCAACACTATGAATAACACCAAAAGGGAAGTTCTGTCAAATGCCCAGTGAAATCACAGACACACACAATCTGGAGACATCTTGAGGGCATCAACATGATCCCGGGCCCTTCAGAGGAATGTAAAAAACTCAGTCAGCCACCACCAGCAGCATGGTATGCTTCTACTTGTTCCCACCCACCCCCCACTGGCACAGACAGGTCCTCAAGACCACACATGAGAATGT